ATCCCACCAACTGACCCACCACCCTAAATGACTTCACAATATGAATTTGATGGGTAGCACCACCATATACACTTTAACGAGTTGCAAGGCCATAGAGCCGTTGTTATACACGAAATTGTGCCTTCAGAACACGCACAATGGTACGGTACTTTCTATTAGCGTAGTGTAAAATAATGAAACATTATGTATGTGACTTGAATCAACGAATGTGTCTCACTTTAACAAAACAGATTACTGTTTCTTTGTTTCCACAGCGACATCAGCGACAGATATTGCATCTAAGCCTCCAGGAGCGTTCGCTAGTGGATGCAAATTTCCCACAGTGCGTTTCAACTGTGCGACGTCCCCATGATAGCGAATCAACAAAGTTCATCTTTTCCTTCGATTAGTTTTCGACTCATTTTTCAGAAATTGCTAGGAGCTTCCAGTAATATTGTTTTCCCAATATTGATTGATTTATTTATTGCGTTTTTTTTTTCTTAATTCTTGCATAACTTTTCTTGCCATGTATTTTACAGGGTTGTAATTTTTTCCCAAATACTTAGGTAACTATTGATCAATGTGTTATTGTTCTCATATTTTCCAGCGAACTCTTCACATCATTATAGCCAGACTACAGGAAATCTCCTGGAGGTTAATGAGGTTTTTCTTTTCTGTAAAGTTATCCTCAGCCATGTCTTAAACTTACTGCAACCATTCTTTCATAAATATCTACTTACCACGCTCCTGGGGTGATGAATTATCACTTTAGTTGGTCTAGTTTTTGATTGATAATTTCTTCTTGGCGCTACGGACACTACAAATTTTGGAGTCACCTCTGGCTTACAAATCTCCTGAACCCTTGCATGCGAGTCTCAGCAGTTATTTCCATGTGAATGGTTCTTGATTAGGCATGCCGAAACATGACATCTTTAACTTTTTTTTTCAATTATTGTAATACTTATTATCTAGATTCTAAAAGGCTTCTTTATCCAGTGTATTACACAGACATAAAAGGCACTGATTTCCATTTTCGTCTTGATACATTTCCGGATATGCTAATAATATCTATTTCTATATTTACTACAACCTAACTGGATTTGTTGGTTATTACTTCAAGTTGGTCAAGTTGCGTTCGCTCTCCACATTCAAAAATCTCCAATTATTCTCGTTCTCATGGATTAATTAGCATCATTTCCCTACACTAATTCTTCATCTTTCTGTTCGATGGGACTTTCTTAAGTATAGCTTTCATAATCTTAAATCTGTCAGTCTTTTTAGTCTCACCGCTACTGTTGAGTACTTTTGACAGTTGTCGTAAAAAACGATACATTTAAATTGCGTTCAAATTATAATACCTTTGATAAATGTCATTGTCCAAATAATTTCGCATTTGTAACTAATCATGTCTAGATCATTTAAGCCATTATGCTAATTCTTTTTCCTCACACAACAAAAACCCTTTGTTAGTAGAAACCCTTCGTTAGCAAACCCTTTGTTAGCAAAACCCTTTATTAGCAGTCTTTGTTTCACATCAGTTAAATATCCTCTGCCAGATATCTGGTCTTTGGTCAGTTCGGTTCTGCATATAAACAATCGTCCTCCATACGGTTATTCATTCTGCATTTTGGGGTGGTTTTGATATCATTTTAATGTTTTATAATTATATCTTTCGTTACGCATTGTTATAATATTGATTTGTCGGTTTAATTACGCAAGTTGGAGGCAAAATAAAATATCTGGCTGTCCATACATTCCACGACAACAGTTATCATTCCAGTGATCACTCAAGCAAAAGACACAAGTCAGCTAATCTCTCTTTTTTTCTTCCAATCGTTTTACATAATTTTGCTCACTGAGAGGATTGAGTTTGTCGCGTTAATAATTTTTTGGTGGTTAGGTTTAGACTTTGTGTTCTGAAAGATAGATGATGATTTACTCATTTCACACTATCTCAGAAACTTTTATCGACATGAACCTCCATTTGCCGCATTTGTTTAGTGACTTTTAGATTTCTGTAAGTGACTTACACCTTTATATATTCTTTTAAAAATGTTACTATATTTTTCATTGTTCATTTTGACTTCTTCAATTTCTTTTATCAGATTGCATAATAGATAATCCGCAGTTTTACAGTAATGGTAGTCCACGGCTGATTTATCTTGGAAATTCTTCCCAAATGTTTTGAATTGGAAGAGAATATCTAGTGGTTCTCTTAATATTACAGTCACATTACTGTTTGTCTTGCCCAATTTTAATATAATGTATGATTCCATTGTTTTGCTTCATTTGTCGTCGTCTCTTTCAAGATGTTCATAGCAATATGTAATTATCTTCATTGATTGCTAAGTCAACATACTCTTCCCTTTAAATATCCAATGAAGTGTACAAATTCCTTCGTTAGCTACGACGTCTTCTGTCAATGCCCTCTTCAAATTGGTGTATAGATAGGCCTGAAAATTCTGGATTTCCATCGAATTCTACTATCTTCATTTCTGGAGACTCGCTTATCGTCACCATTTCCTCGATTTCAATTAAAATCTCCCTCGTTTTCATTTTGGCTTGATTTTGCTTGATAGTTCTTTTGTGCATAGTGATACATCTGATCTATTTCTTTAATTAGAAAAGCTCGAGCATAATGTACTTCGTGGCTATTACTAAATGCACATTCTTGTCAAATGGGTTTCATATAATTCAATTTCATAATCCTTCAAAATGTCCATTCATTAGTGCTCTTACTTTTTATATGTATATGGACATTTACTTTTCTTTATTACTTGACTCTTTTCGCACTTTTTCTGCGCAAAATACTTTCCGTTTTAACTGTGACACGGAATTCCCATCCTTCTTTGCTATGTTTCTAGTCGAACTGTCTTCACCATCCATGATTTCTTGTTACCCATATAAACAAGTTATAAATAACTTACACGCATTCATCCTTGGCTTTCGTGAACGGAAGATTGTAGTTTCAATTCTTTCCGAGGTCGATAAATTTGTTGCCAATTTCTTTCTGATAGTAACAAAGACTAAAAGGGTTGTTTCTTTTTCTTCTCGACGTCTCAGATTTGGATAATTAAACCCTTATTCTGAGAAAATGATTAATACAACAATGTATTCAATAATTTCAATAATTGGAATTTCAATAAGACACTTTTAACAACGATATCAGTAATAGAAAGGGGGCGAAAAATTATGCCAAATATCTTAACCAACTGGTCTAGCCCAAACAATTTTATAAAGTGAACTTAATCTAGTGAATAACTGATAATACATAAGTGTGATTTGGAGAAGAGTTTTAATTTGATATGAGAAGTCTTGTCTTTAGACATATATTTGGGGAAGTTATTCCTTTTGATTCAGGAGAAAGTAGCTAATATTCAGAAGATTGTAGTGTGGAAATGACGCAGGTCGTGCAGAGGGAAGTAGAAACACTTCTTACTAATAATCTTGAGTATATATAATTTATATATATATAAATAACACATTTTGATGGGAATGGTTTACAGCATCATTTTGATAAGATAGCAGATGTTCATTTAAATAACAGAAAAAATTGTAAAAATCTGATTACAATATAAACATTGTAATAATTAACGGAAGGGAATTTAGTATGTGGATAGGTTTTCTAAACATAAAAGAAAGGATGCAAATTTAGTTAGATCCAGATAATCCAAATAAATAGAAAAAACAACTGAGGAAAGTGAAATTGGTTACATGATTTATAAAAATTTTGTGTTTATTTACAGTTTGAAGCACTGATTTCTTACATAAATTTATTTTTTTTTACTTAATTTGAGGTTCGCAATATTTGATCCGCGAATTTGATAAATAGCAGGTACAATGAATGGGAGGGCATGGATCCATTAATAAGATCACAGAGAATAGCATCTTCAGATAGCGCATATTGGTATAGCACTTCTGTTATTCGATTGTACCTTGAGAAATAGTTTTATAAGCTGCTTACTACTTTCTTCTAGTTCTGAATTTCTCAATCGACCTTTTGACCTCTGTAACTTTTTTTTCACTGTAAAGGAGATTCCATTTATCTATTTGCATTTCAATCGAACCGTCCAATTGTGCTTGTTTAGTAGTATCAAATACTGCTAATTTGTAGTCGTCGTTTCGTAAGTTGACTTTTCTAAGTTGAAATCGGCTGTTGTTGTGGTTTTTTTTTTTTTTTTTATGTTTGTTAGTAGTCAGGAATAAACAGGAAATTAAAAGGCTTATATGAGTATACAATAAGTAGTTCAATAGATGTAGTAATAATAATAGTGATATTTTGACTGGAAGCAAAATTGTTGGTCTCAGATACGCTTCGTTGTGGTGAAATCGCAGTAAGATTATAGAATCTTTATTAATACAATACGAATGGAAGAAAAATACTAATATGCAGAGAAGCAAAATAAGAGGAAGTATAATCTCACGTAGTTGTAGTTGACGTTTGGTCGAAGAAGAGATTAACAGTGAAACCCCTATTTGTCCCAGAAGTTAGCAGCCCTTCAAGAAGAAGAAGATAATCATCATAGAGATTCCTCCTTCAGAAGAAGGTTCTCATTTAGTATTAGGTTTATGTATGCTAAAAGTTGGGAGTGCTTTACAACAGAATTACAATGGATTACAGCAGACATTACTTCAGATGTTCATTTGCATACGTGACAAGTATAAGGATTGTAATGAGGGATTAAGATGTGAATTTTTGTTTAGATCAAGATAAAAAAGGAAATGCATTACAGCTGAGGAACCTAAAATTCCTTAAATGATTTATAGCATTGCTAACGATTATTTACAATTTGAATGATTAAATTTGTTATAAATTTAATTATTTTATTTGAAGTTTCGCGATATTGAAATTCGCGGCAGCTGTGTCCATGATAAGTTTTGTTTCGTTGCCAATTTTATGATTCTGAAAAGTCCCCACGAATCTTAACTGTTTACTAAAACGTTTTCTGTTAGTAAATTTTATTTCTTGGATAGGAATTTGAGCGGTTACCTTTAATGGTTCTTAATACTGTTAATATTTATTAACAATTTTGCTTAATTTGAGGTTCACGATTCGAAATTCGTGACAGTCGGAAATAATTTTGTATAAATATAACGCTGACAATCTGACGAAGTGTTCTAGTTGTTTTACTACAAACTGAACAGCTCTTATTTGGAGTAATTCTTATCAGGGTATTATCATTACAATGCCAAGTTTCGTCAAAAATGTTTCCTTCACTCTTGCGTATGTAATGTTGCAGCCATGTTGTATTTGCTTTATCACTGAAAACGTGAATTTTTGTTTCATTTAAGATAATAGTGAATCGAAATAACTCCTTAACCAATTTTGGCCACTCATTTGTAAATGTGTTCCTTGACATTTCATCCGTATAAGAGGCTGATACCGTGTAAACAAATCTATTTGAAAGATGAATACGAGATAAATGGTTTCCTGCACGAAATAAGGCAACCTTTAATTTTACAAGTGTGTTCCAATTTTATGTAATGTATTTTGTAAGTTATTTAGAGGCTTGCAAAACTTATTTCGAGTTTTACGACATCAATGATTTTTGACCGAGTACAGTTCACTGTAAAGTTCCTTATAAAAAAAAAAAAAAATACATTTGATTTTTGAAATCTTATGACATATGCGACAATCTTGCAACTATAGTTCTTTCTGATGTCATAACCAGCTGTGGTTAGTAAAACACTTCATCTGAGACACAAGTAATTCATTTTGTGGGTATCTGGAATATCTCGGAGATGAACTGCCGATTTGTCTGTCGCTGGTGTCGCTGTGGAAACAAAGAAACAGTAATCTGTTTTGTTAAAGTGAGACACATTCGTTGATTCAAGTCACATACATAATGTTTCATTATTTTACACTACGCTAATAGAAAGTACCGTACCATTGTGCGTGTTCTGAAGACGCAATTTCGTGTATAACAACGGCTCTATGGCCTTGCAACTTGTTAAAGTGTATATGGTGGTGCTACCCATCAAATTCATATTGTGAAGTCGTTTAGGGTGGTGGGTCAGTTGGTGGGATGGTAAATGGTAGTCTGAGCTTTCCTTTTTATTACTGATGTCATTAAAATTGTAGCACTGAAATTGTAATTGCTGAGTTCATTGTTTTTATTAACCATTCTATCTATCAGAATAAGTGTTTAATTACTCAAGTTTGAGATGTTGAGAAGAATCAGAGAGACCGAAACAATCTGTCAGACTTTGTTGCTATTAGGAAGTATAATTATTGAAAAAAATGGCTTTCCATAATTATTCGAATATGATAAATGAATTAAAATCGAAACAATTTTCTTTTAAATTTTATAACTGTTAAATTAGGCGACATCTTTAGCATGTCTTTTTCTTATATTTTGCGAATACCTATCGTCCAAGAACTTACTTAGGTTTCCGGGTGTTTTTATATCAAGGAATCATAACGACGTAGCTGTCGTCTTATTTTTCCACTCTCTTTTCAGGTAGAACTGGCACACTCATATTAATAATTTAGTTGAGTGTTTTTAAAATAATTACTTATCGCTGAAATTTGCAATGGGAATTTCTGTAGCATAATTCAATGTATATATTGGTAGAATTGCATTCTGAAAACAAGAACAATGAATACATTAGGATATAAATACCGATATAAATAATTTGTACATAAATAATAATGGACTACGAAATGGTAGAAATATTTTACAGACACAGCTATTTTGTGCAATTTCATAATTTTCTGTAATAAAATACTTCCATTAAATTCAAATGGAAATATGAAAAAAACTGAGTATTTTAAGGCCATGTTGTGCACTTTCAAACATATTTTCCAAAATTTAAACAAAAAATGTAAAAAGCTTGGATGTTCTTTGTTTTATAACTTGTCGCCACTTTACATAATAGCAATATTTCATGCATTCATCAATTTTTTTTATATTTTTTATAAATAATCCCAGTACTGCAAAAAAAAATTATTTTATTAAGAGATATGCTTCATTTCAGTAAATACATATTATTATTGTTATTATTATGATCATACGAGAACAACTTTCTTCCTTGCTTTTACAATTTTTTAAGGTTTCTTTTTCGATGCGAATAATGAATAATGCTCGATAAACACCACTTCATCAAATGTACCAGGTATGAGGAAACGATTTATTATAAGTACCCTTCAGTCGACAACTGAGATAACATCAGCAAAATCCTCAGCAATAAAATTTGTAGCAAACCGCAAACAAAGAATCGCAAACGACTTTAATGCAATTACGCACATTCTTCAGTATACCATGTGACAGCGACATTGCTTGCAACGCTAAAGCTGTTAGTTATTTCCATTATTGATATTGTTCATTACTACTATCGATTTATCTTAGTTAGTTGGCTAGAGTTACTTACTTAGGCAGGATGTCATGTCAGTAAGAACTGCCCCCTCATTTTTTTTAATGTGTATTTCTGTGTTTTTGCTTGTGTGAGCGTAATTCTAACTTACGCTTTCTAGGAAGTAGTTGGAACCTAGCCTTGACATTACTACGATGTTTCGTTCAAGCGGCGGATCGAATTTGAATGACACTAATGTGACGACAAAACAACAAGAAACTCGTAAGGTTAGCTTCTTAAATTTGATTTGTTTTTTCCTCAGTTGTTATCTGCTTGTATGATGTATCAGAATCAGTCGATATTATTTAAGAATAATGCATTCGGAATTTCACTTGATTTAAAAAAGGTAATTTCAATCCATTATCAAACTTCTAAACTTCATCGGTTGAATGTGAAAATTCCTTGGAACTTCTATATACCAGTTTTAATTCCAATTTTTTTTAATTCCAATGGGTAACAGATGCATGGATATCGACTTAGATGAAATCAACTAATATGAAAAAACAAATGTTTTTATTTATTTAGTCTTTTTTTCCCCTTTATTTAGTTTATCTTCTCATTCGTTCCAGCTGAATCAGTTTTTCGTTTACTCATTTTGTTTTATTTAGTAATTGTTTTCGTTCCATTTTTTGAAATGATAGAAAATGCAAGAAATGGTGCAAATGTATACCCCTTTACCTTCTCACTCGTTCCAGCTGAATCTGTCTGTATATATGAAATTTTAATTAATTCATTTGCAAATTAAAAAGCATAATAAAAGCAGGTGCTCAAATGAGCTGAACATGCAGAGTGAGATTAGTATTAGTCATATTCAAAGACTCCTACTAATCTCATCCATGGATTATTAAAAGTAAAAATATCCATCCATTTGCTGCAACAGTGCAAATTCTAGGAAATAGTTACTGGTGTTAATATCGATCCAAAAGATCCAAAAGCTAATGAAGCAGCAAGAATAATACAACATGCGTATCGGTAAGTAATAAATGTAAGGTCATAGGATAATGAGACAAAATGCTTATTCCAAATTATTATTTCAAAAGATTTAAAAATAACTCTTTCTCGTCACATCTCAAATCACATGTTAGTTTCAGCAAATAAAAATATGCTAATTGCAACTTCTTAAACTGACTCTATATTTAATTTCTTAACACGTTCACAATAGAATAAAATGAGAAATACTGATAATTTCAGAAAGCATCAGGAGCATCAAGAGCATCAGGATAGCTGTCACAAGCATCAGTATTAAAATATGAGCTAATAGTAAGAATATACAAGAAGAAAACTGATATTTAGCTTACCTCACTTGTGATGAATGTTTCAATTTTTCTTTCCATTTATAATCCAAAGATTAAATGATGAGTTTAAATTGAAAATATGCTGTGTAAATATTTGTCAATCTTATCCTAAAGTTACAGTGTTGGAAAATTCAAACTGACAAAGCAAAGTAACGAATTACCCACACTCAATCTATTTATCCACTTTTCTTGGTTTATTATAAATAACATATATGTAGGTTATGTATGTTTATAAGTAGCTGCTCCAGAACTGATAGAATCAAGAAAATATGAATGAAATGATTTTTTTAATGAAGTTATGTATATAAGGACTGTGTAATGTGTAAAGTGAAAAGATATTTATTACTCTGACTTATTCCAATATATCAGTGATTATTTCTTTATAATCAAAGATGGATAATATTGGTTTCTTCATAATCTAATGTAAATTCCTTATAATCAAACGGTTGGATGAAAATTAAAATGGCGATTGAATTGAAATTGATAAACAAATATCAGATCAAAATGTGAATCCTTGGTAAACAAGCTTTAAGACGATATTGAGAAGATCTATAACAAAGAAAATATTGAACATTTTCAAATCTGACTTTACATCAGAGCACCTCTTCAAATTTGCCATCGTTGAACATACTTTTCGGAAGTTGGAACAAAACTTTTGGTTATACGTTTACTGTAATAAATTTTCTGCACAAAAATGGCAGTTAGAAGGAGTACTCCAAATAAAATGAAAACTGCGGTTTGCAAAACAATTCCATTGCGTATCGCTTCGCATGATACGTGTGGTACTTCGGATAATCCTGTCTGATTTATTTCGTTACGTTCAAAAATCACCAACTGAAATTATTTATACACATTTTTAATTTTGCTTTCCAGTTTTGATTATTGCATTACCAGCACAGGTGTAGTATGTAATGCAAGATAACACAAATAGTATTGGATCGACTAAAGTTCTTATTTAAGACCTGTTATCATGCCTATAAAAGATTAAAGATTTTTCTTATTTCTTATCTTGCTGGGTAATTCTAAAGCATTTTAAAAACCTAAGATCCTAGCCATTTAGCCTTTTCAGCCTAGAACTGAATTATAAAAGCAACCTTTTATCTTTTTCATGTTCTCATGTTTTCAACTTCTGAAACAATGAAGCCAGATGATATGAAAATTTCAAAACCTGATCAGCATGAACATCGAATGTAAAATGATTGGCATTGGTGGAATTTGCTTTAGTGAGAGAAACTGAATTTATTGTCATTCGAGATTCATTCAGGAAACGCTTTCGTCTGTAACTCATAGACTGCACGTCCAATGCTGCAGAACAGTTCGGTTTACTTGCACTAAGGTCATCGTTACAAATTGCGCGATCGGTACTCTCTGTGGCGAAAACAGTAGTTGACAATAGTCTTGTTAAAAGAAATAAACTAATAATATTTAGTCCTTATTAAAAGTCATTTTCTAAGTTTTTCTAACTAAGTAAGTGAGAAGTGAGAAGCTTCTGTAAATCCTAATAAACTAGTTTAGAAACACTTAGCATTCATATTATCAAAACATAAAATTAAAACCCGATCTAGTAACTAACAATGATTGGCTTATTCCATTCCATACCCCTACACGGTGATCGTTCAATGTCCCGAGACATCAGTAATGGAGACAGACTTACGTAGTATAGGAAATTCAGATGTCGAGGTCGACATTGAAATCGAAGTTGAAGTTGGAAT